GGGGGGGGGGGGGGCTGCACACCACAAATTCTCTCATCACTTTCTGGCAGTGCCCATCTTCAAGACCGGTGCTACTCACACTTCAGGGCACTGAAGGCCAGCTCGTAGGACAATCGCTGAAAGGATTCGTCCTCGGACTCCTCGGACAAGGACCGCAGGGGTTCGTTCCCATACTTTATTAAGACTTTCTCTGGTGACTTTTCGATTCGAATACCCTGAAAAATGTTCGCTGCCATAATGTAAACGGGGTCCGGGTAACCAGTTTTTTCGGGGATGTCACTTGAGCTTTTTTCGCTGGGCGCTTCGTCACCTGACAGTGCCAGGGAAGCGAGTTGGGAGAGCTCCTCGGTATTGTTTTCTTTCGAAAACTGCAGTTTTCTTGACTGTAGCATGTCTACCCCTTGCCTGTCATCGATTACAATTAAGATGTTCCAGAAAATGGTTTTCCTTGTACCTTAAGCATCGTCTCTGTGAAAAGAAAAGGTTATCTCAGTAAATCACGCTCTCTGCAGGACCACGGCTGGTGCCCCCACCCCGTTGTCGCCTTGTTTAAAGACTTAGAAGTGACATTTAACTGGCAGATCTGAGCATCCTACACTTCAAGCCCAACAAGCCCCAACGAAATCTCCACACACTCGAGGGGGNTCGTCTCTGTGAAAAGAAAAGGTTATCTCAGTAAATCACGCTCTCTGCAGGACCACGGCTGGTGCCCCCACCCCGTTGTCGCCTTGTTTAAAGACTTAGAAGTGACATTTAACTGGCAGATCTGAGCATCCTACACTTCAAGCCCAACAAGCCCCAACGAAATCTCCACACACTCGAGGGGGAGAGGGGTGGAGGCAGCTGGGGACTCGCCTCCCAAGAGACGGGCGGCTGTTCCCCGGGCCGNCCCAAGAGACGGGCGGCTGGGTGGGGACACAGCTCCCCCCTGAGCCGTGCCTAGGGCCCCAGCGGCGCCCCTTCCTCCAGCTCCCGCGAATCCTGCTTTACCCCAGAGGGCGGATGTTTCCCGTGGTTTTGGGGACGAAGATGCGGCACGGCGGACACCGACGGCTGGTGTCTGGAACAGCGCCCTCGGGAGCCCCTGGACGGCGGCGCGGCGACGGAGGCCAGCGAAGGCCGTTTGGTTCAAATGCAGCCTCTCCCACCG